ACCGACCCGTCGGGAACGGTAACAACCGGGTGACGAAGCAAGAAAGAAAAGAAAGAAAACATCCCTCAGAGCACAGGAGAGAGAGAGAGAGAGAGAGAGGGATCGCCCCACAGGGAGGACAAGCAAACTGAGCACAGAAAGAATACGCGTCGCCCCTGCCAGGGTGTGTGGGTGTATTCTTTGCCCCTCACCACTTACCCAGCAGCACAGGCAAGGGCGGCCGTGAGCAGCAGCAGCGAAGGTGCACACACCCACAGAGCCATGATCTCACTGCCGTCCGCAGAGTTGGCCACAGGTTTCTGAGTGGTGTTGCTGTTGGTGGCGGCTTCATGCGCCGAAGTCTGTGTGGCGCCGGCAGTGGACTGCGCGGGGATTGTCGAGTCGCTGCTGTGCTCAGTCGTCGTTGGACGTTCCGCACCGCCTCCCTCTTCTTCACTGCCTTCTGCTGCTTTCGTTCGCCCCGTGGCCCCGCCAGCGCCGCCTTCCGCCGACTCACCTCCCGCCTGTGGGAGTGCACCCGGTTTGGGTGGCACTTCACTGGCGCCCACACTTTCAGCCGTCTGCGGTTTACTCTCAACGCCGTGTGCCGGCTGCCCACCGACGGCCCCTGAAGCCGCTGCGGCTGCAAGTGCGGTGCCAGTCGACTGAGGCGCAGGCTCTGCTGGAACTTCTTCTGCGCCGCGCTGGCCCTCCTCCTGCGGCGGCTGCGCTCCCTCGCCCTTCCCGCCCGCAGCGGCATTGCCGCCGGGCAACTGCTGCGCGCCCTGCGGCCCAGTCGATTCTTGCCGCTGTGGGGCTTCCCCAACTTCTGGCGTTGGTTTCGCTGCCGCAGGCTGCCGAACGGTATTTTCGGCGCTCTGCTCGCCCACGGCGGTCAACTCACAAACGCCCGGCGTGGCGGGAGTGGCGGGGGTGGCAACAGCAGCACTTTTTTTTGCTTCCGTCCAATTCTTGTAAACTTCACTATTCTCTTGCATCAGAAATTCCATCGTGAACGCAACGGCAGGCTCCCCCTGCTCCCTGGGCGTTGGCCTCGTTGCAGCTCACGCTGCAGTTCGCCGCCGCGTACTGCGATTCGGCGGAGAGGCAGAGAGACTCACTGACACCGTCGTCGCCTCCAACCAGAGTCACGTCCACGTGAACCACTTCGAACACCTCTGTGCCCGCACCGTCAACGACGTAGCCATGCGCTTCCACTGCGGCGGCACACTCCTTCCACGCAGTCTCGCCGGGGAAGCGCCAACGCAACTTGTTGTTATCGTTCGCGCACGCAACCTGCACCGACACATTTGCCAGCGCACCCACAGCCGGCGCCTTCGTCGCCCCGCTGACGGAGGCGCAGCAGCAGCCGCAGAGCAGCGCGAGGAGCGCCAGGGCGCACACCGCACGGCGCCGCACCGGCTGCGTCATCAGTAAAAACAGCGGTGGTGGTGAGCTGCGGGGCAGCGGGTAGAGAAGAAACAACCGAGAGAGGGAGGGAAGGAGGGAGGGAGGGAAGGAGGGGAAGTGAAGGGCGCAGCGGAGAGAGAGAGGGAGGAGAAAAAAGGCACACACACACACAACAAAAAAAAAGAACAAGACGGACCGCCGAGTGCAGAACGGGGCAGAGAGGCACAGCGGCGCACAGCCGCAGGAACGGCCGCCACGCAACTGACGCGGGCGCGTGC